AATACTGCAAGTGAAAGACAGCTGTGTGTTTTATTGCAGCCTTTACTCAGACACGATTAAAGATGCAGTAAAGAAGTTTAACTTTTCAGAAAGGAATACCACTGTTTCCACAGAAATACAGTACAAGGGCACTACTTATAAAAAAGGACAGTTTCTTGTGTGCAGAAATGATGAGAACATGGAGTTTGGTAAACTTCTCCTGATCCTGATACACAACGACACCGTCTATTTCTTGATGAATATCCACAAAGGCCATTTTCACTCAGACTACCATTTATATTCTGTGACTCAAGACAGTCTTGGGTTACAGTGTGTTAACATTAATGACCTGGCAGACTTCTATCCTTTGATATCATACATTCTTAATGGGCACCAAATCATTCCACTTAAACATAGTATTGTGGAAAAATAGAAGTCTAAAAGTGGAATTTCAATCAGTGGTTCTCAAACCTTGCACACAAAGTACAACTTATGAAAATGTATCGCTCTAAGCACTTTGGGTGTGAACTTGCTTATTTATCCATGCAGTGAATTGTACATGTAAAAAACGTTTTTGTTTTTCTGATTCAAGGTGTAAAGTTCACTTTACTGCAAAAATGAGTGACTCGGAGCAAACCTTATAAGGACTCCATAATGGAAGTCCTACCCGACCTACCAGCTGCAACAAAAGACATCCTTGAAGAGCAATTGCAGTCCATTGGAGTGGAGTCGTATGATGACCTACAGTTCATAGAAGAGTCTGACTTGCTGTCTGCCCTGAGACCTGTACAAGCCCGAAAGCTCCTTGCCACTTGGAAACTGAAATGTAAGTAAATGCCATTCAAAGTATTAAAAGCAGACAGGCCATTCATGTGTTTCATTATTTAGTGATGAATTATTTACTATTAATTGTTTTCATGTGCAGATCAGACTCCTGAGAACAGTTCTCAATCATCTGTCGAGGCCTCACCTTCTCCATCCTTATCATTGCTCTCAGTGTCACCCAGAAGTTCACCATCTACCTCTTCCACTAGCCCAGGGTCTGCCGTGCAGTGGGAGGCCAACTTTGAAATTCCGTGGAGAAAATTTCCAGAGGAACTAGTGCAGTGCTTGGAGAGAGGAAAGAGACCAAGTCCGCGACTTAGAAAGGAGATGGTCCGCATTGTTGTACGAGAGATGACTAAAAATTGCTCCCGGGTAGGCAAAAAATATTCGACTGAAGTTGCAAAAAAAAATGGTGGCAAAATACCCTAATTCGCTGCAAGATGTAATAGAAGGAGACATTGTTGGTACAGGCTATGATTCTCTTTTGAAACAATTGCAAAACAGAGTTGAAAATGTGAAACGCCATTCAGCACCAGTAATAAGAAAACGAAAACATCAGACCGATGACTCTGATACAGATGAGATCCCTCTAGAAAAGAGAGCAGCAATGCAAGACACCTATGGATGCATTAAATGGGATGTAAAATGCCTGCCCCTTGGAGAAACCCAAGAGAGCCAGCTGCAAAAAAAGGAAAAGCTTAAGGCAATGTTTCAACAGTCTGATGGAAATCCAGAGGATGTCAAACAGCTGATGAAGTCCACGTATTACACACAGCGAAAAGAAGTCAACCAGGGCAAAAGCATCAAATATCTCAGAGAGGAGTGGCCGTTTTGTTTTGATGAACTGGGCATGTCGGTCCACTTCAAGGAACTCACTGGAATTGGTCTCAAAGAAACTTTCACTCGAAATTTGGATCTGAAGGGGAAAAGGCTGCTTAACTACCTGACTACAGTTTGTGTCAAAAAGAGCAGGAAGTTTCTTGAAACGTACACAAGGCTTCAGATGAAGCGGGGAGAGCAGAGTGGCTGCTCTGAAGATGTGAAGGAGATGGTCTTACTTTTGCTCTGCTACTTTGATGAAAAGGAAAATTCAATGTTCGTTCCACTGTCACATTGTCTCCATATATGCTGCTAACTTAGATGTTTTAGCATTACCACTAATATATTTCTTGCACTAGAACATACAGTTTTTTATACTTGCTTCCTTACTATAGCTAAAAGTTAGAGATTTTATTTTATTTTTTTTTAGTGCAAAGTTATTGTTCATTTATCTATGTGTTGTGTGCACCCATTCTGTTTCAGGTCACGTCAACTCTGAAATGTCCCCCAGTGGGAACCAATAAAGGAATATAGGTGGAGTAGGTTTGAGAGGGATTTGAATAAAAAAAATGAAAAAAAAGGTGAATTGTTCACATTTTTAAGCATTACATTACGACATATCCAAGATTTAAAGGGTTATAAAAAAGCCCTGGTATCATAGGCGAGCCAGATATAGCCACAGATTTGTAGATCCATATCCAGTTATCGAATTGGACAATTCTTCTTCCATGATTATATATTCTTTTTAGTCAAATTAATACTCAAAGTCGAAACCCGGGATTTATTCAACTCAGTTAAGTCAGTGAACCCCTTTATTGTAAGAATATATACAAGTCCCACTCATGAAAACACATGAACACATGTGCAGGGTCCACTCGCATGGAACAGAAGTAAATGTATTGACTTTATGACCTGAAAGGGGGAGTCTATGTAGTAGTATTGTATTGATCCTTGATAAAGATCACAGCAGACCAAACATCTTCATAATAATCATAAAGAATAATGTTCCAAACTTAAATAGTGCTTTATGGACATTCAAAGACGCTTACAAAACACTTCGAAATAACATTGAAAAACAAAATAAGGAGGCAAGCTGAGACAGAGGGTTTTTGAGAAGAGATTTACAGTTCTGTAAGTAAAGTCTGAGTTTCTGATTCCGTTGAGGGAGTTGAGTTCCAGAGAGTGGGGCGGCTGCACGAAGAGATCCGGTCAACAAGGTCGGATATTATAGAATACTTGTTCTGTAATTCCCACGTTGAAAATGTGAAACCAGTACACCCCAGAGGAGATCATCACAAGCAAAGTCACATATGCCAAGTCTTTGTTGTAATTTTGAAAATATTGTAAGTCATACATGCGTGGGTAAGAATGGTATAGCGATAATGAGTTGGTTGAGGTCGATGTCTTACCTCAAGGCAGAAAGAACAAAGCAAACTGAAAGAGAAGACAAAAAACAGCATGAATATATTTGAAATTTCAACCCAACATTAGCCTCAAACTAAAACTCAACATGTTGTAAATGCTTTGTAGTAATCAAATCTTTTGGAAATTGGCTGAAGTTGAAGAGTTGATATTTTGACCTCAGAGCGCACTAGGTCCACAGCATGATATCGGTGTTGCCACAACCTCTAGAGGGAGAGAACAAAATGCACTTAAAGATGCGGCACCTAACTTTTTATGTCCATAAATACATGTTTTTTGTCCCAACAGGAAGAAGGACTTGAAATGTGTGAGCAAATGTTAGTCTTAGCCGTCTTATTATATTATTGAAACCACCTTATTACATGCCATTTATATATAAGAAAGAGCCTGACTCAACTAATTTTTGACACTGTTGAGCTGAGCAGAGGAAAGGGTGATCCTCTCTTATACCTTTTTCTGTCTGACAAAGATGTTGAAAAGATCTGACAGAAGCCAAATATACTGTAACCTGCCTGTTAAAACAAGTGATTTAGAGGTCTAGTAGGTTTCTAAGCCAGAAGTTACAAGGAGCTCAACTAAAAAAGATTTCAATTAATAGTCAGTTAATAGTCATATATTTCCCACAGAGCTGTTGTTTGTTATACTCCAAAGGGGAAGACTCAAACAAGCTTTGGAGTAACAAAAGTCTTCTTATATAAATGTGCCTCGATAACAATATTTCTTCTTCATGTGTTTTGTCTTTCTTTGAGCTGCATGAGGAATGATGCAATAATACTGAAAGTCAAACATTTCTCAATCCCGATGTTATATCAATCTACAGACATATTACAAACATATCGTGGCCTTTTCCCATTCGTGGCGACATCATTGTTGCAGACCAGAAAAAGTCTTCAATCTGGTGTTTTTCTAGCTGGAGATCGTTTCTTCCAAGAGGAGGTAAAACCAAGAGTAGCAGACCCTGTAATTTTGCCCCATTGCCTTCCTCCAGAAGCTGATGACCTCAAAGGCTGTGTTCCAAATGTTGACGACTTAACAATGTGCTTTTGAGCTGCGCAGCATAATAACACACATTTAACCAATTACCTGCAATTAGACAAAGCAGCTATTTGAAACTGGAGGTCCCGTTTACACTCACCTAAACAGTATGTGGAGCCAGGGGAGAGGTGCCATTTAACCATGAAACAACATTGTAATACTCACAAAGCAGACCTAGAGTCGTTTCTAGATCCATCGAAAGTAGATATTGGGAACTACTGTCCAAAACATGTAACTCGAGCCCTTCTGTACAAAAAGATCCTGTCATAGTATGATGTCAATAGGAAACGAACTAAGAACATCATATTCAGAGCAATTTTCCTGCATTTTAAACTAAAGTACTTTCCCTTATATTAGTTTTTTCAATGTCCTCTACTTGATTACATTAATCACGATCACGTCCACAAACCCAAAAAATCATTTTCACCACACACATCTACTGTATTTAATAGGAACGCAGATTCAACTCCTCCCTCTTGTGGTAGCTAGAGATAGGGCAGGCTGATAGCATTGTTCACCCCTTCATACCGTAAATTTTTGACGAAGAAATTATTTTGCATTCTAAAACGTGAAATAATAAAAAAAAAGTCTCATTGTCATGTTTATTAACCCTCAGAATGTAGGATGTGGCTGAGTTAAATGTTATACTAGTTAAATGTTATACTGCGTGTAAACAATAAACATTTCATACCACAAAAAAATAAAAAAAAATTAAAAAAGAGTCAGAGGTCAGAGTCAGAGGTCAGGGTCAGGAGTCAGACGTCAAGAGTCAGAGGTCAGGGGTCAGGAGTCAGAAGTCAGGGTCAGGAGTCAGACGTCAAGAGTCAGAGGTCAAGAGTCAGAGGTCAAGAGTCAGGTCAGAGGTCAAGAGTCAGAGGTCAGAGGTCAAACATAGTGATCACATGTTCATTGCTGCAGGTTTAGAAAGAGAAGACTCTGAGGATGAACTGGAAGAAACTACAACTGAAGAAGAATCAGAAGAAAAAGGTAACACACATATCACACTGCACCACACACACACACACACACACACACATACACGTTTTTGTTACCTGGTGGGTCCCTTTGACAGGGCCGTTCAGAATGGGACCCATAGACATAATCTTTTTTTACCAAGACTTTAAGTAATACAAAACAGTCAATAGAAACCAAACAACTATTTTAAAGGAATTTTATTTTAGATTTTGTTTTCGAATTGCAGTGATTCTATTTTTGACATAGAATTTAATGCCACTCCATGTCCGATGTCTAAGGTCATCTGGTGAGGCATTAATGCAGGCCAGGCCAGGCAGTGAGACTTCCCAGGGACCTTTCCAGTCTGTATGAAAGGTGTCATGGTCTTCTCCACAGCCTTCACCTCAGATGCAGACCATGGCTTTCTTACACGTTCTAGGGAGAGAAATAAAAATATATTAGCAATATACACTCCCAGGGTGAGGACCAAGCAGCCTGGCTGTAATCCCCCACCTGGTACACTTACCAGAAGGGGCACTGCCACTACCATGGGGTGCATCTGGATGAATGGTTGAAGGTTCTCCGCTTGAAGTTTCTTTTAGCCCGTCCGTTTGTGAGAGGATCTCTACTGCTCTCCCTGTCGCACAGAAAATAAAAATACAAGTGGCCTTTAGGGGAAAAAAATCATACATATTTTAATAATATCAAGAATTACCTTCAGGCTCAATTTGTATCTGGTCGAGGCTCTTTCCTTCGAATTCCGTCACTCTTCCCTGCTCCATGGCCATCAACACTTTGCTGATTTTGGCCAGCTCCAGTGTCCCCTCTGGTAGTCTGTAATATTGCCTGTGGATGCGAATGTCATGGCCGAGGAAGTTGGCAAGTATGTCCATCTCATTCTCTTTCATATTGAGAACTGTAGACATAGTAGCTATGTGCTTTCTAAGTTTGGTTGAGGATAGCATCTCTGGATGCACCGCACCACATTCTTTGGCTACCTGGCGTAGGGAGTCTGATCCCCTGATGTGGGTGTCTGCGCCCGGGCGGGAAAAGAAGTATGGGTTATGGTCAGAGATGGAACAGGCCCTTCTGTTCTCCACCAGCACCTCCATCGAAGCAATCATTTCAGGAGTCAAAAGAACCGGCACTTTCCGACTTCTTTTCCCTTTAATTTCAATGCGTTGAAAATGCTGACACAGCTTTTTCTCAAGTTGGGACAGTCCCAGAGCAATGTCAGAATGGATCCCAGTCTTACTTCTTAAGGTAAAGGCTGTCAGTGGCATCTTTGAAACCTCACCTTCCCTTCTTCGATTGAAAATGATGACCTCACAAAGAGTCAAAACTGCCAGTTTAGACCAATGCTTAGACGTTGGCTCACTTATTAGGGTTTGCACATATTCAGGTCGACATACCTCAATATGTGCATGCATGGCTCTAACGTCCTCAGTCAGAGGGAGCAGGTCCGGAGTGTTCCACTTGGCTTGCCGGAGGGTCTGTAGGGCAGCAGAAGAAACACAGACGTCCCACCTCTTCTCAAAAAGCAGCCGGCTTCGTTGGAGGTTTTTAATAAATAGTTCATCAACACAATGCTCCATTTTTGAGTCACATTCAAGAATATCTGCTAGCTTTCTGAGGCTATGGCCGAGTTTGAGGGCCAAGGATGGAGTCTTGTATTGATTTGTTTCCTCATCATATCCAGCCACAGACCTGACTGCATCAATCACATGGTTAAAGTTGGAAGGAATAAAGAAATCCTTAATTGTTTTCAGTTTCCCTGCGGTTTTTGCTTCGTTAATTAACCTACCGACTTCTCTCATTTTCTGCCTAATGTAATCATGCTTTGTCTTATCATGCCCGTGTTTTAAGTACAGGTGCTCTCCGAGTCTCAGAATCCCCTTTTCTGCTTTGACAACACCCGTGACCTCATCCTGATGCATTGCCGAAATTAAAGACCACAGCTTTTTGCTGATGCCCTCCGGTACAGGCTGGGCTAGGGAGCAGAGGGACTGGACCCTACTTCTACCTGGTTTAGCCTGGGCATCTTTCTGTGAAAGCCGGCACCTGGCCACATGCCTCCACAGCGACTTTCGCTTAAGCAATGCCCCACAGTCTATACAGTGCAAAAACTCACTGGATTTAACTGGGGAATTTGGCTGTTTAGCTGGGACTAAAGTTCCAATGCCGGCCTTTAAAACCTCAAAATTGTGCTCACGGTTTCCACTATTCCTGATCAAATCAAACTGAAGTTTACGTGCTTTAGATTTCACAGGTAGAGCCAATGCTCTGGCTACGTCACTTTCATTTCCATGTTTTCTAGTCAAATGACGGGACATTTTGTGGCAGGACATTGAACAGTAGAGGCAGAAGTGTCTCTTGCTGTATACTCGCCCCCCATTTTTCTTCTTTTGCAGCTGCATGATAACAATCTTATTTGCCTTTGGTTCGTCACTTTCCGAGTCTTGAAGAAAAGTGTTTTTGATTTTTCTTTTTCCATACTTTTTTACAGGTTTCTTCTTGACAGTTAAATCGTCAGAATCTGAGTCGACTTCATCAATTAGGGACTCTTGACTAAGCTGCACAAACAACAAATAATTTGTAATCATTCTATATAACAATTTGAAGTCATGACTTGTAGTCAGCACTTACCAGTGGTTTGTAAGCGTGCGCTTCAGTGTGCTCCTCCATGATTTCTTGCAGCCTAATGAACCACACACTTGCACCTTTTTCTAGCCTGACACCTGATTTCCTCTGTTGTGCTGCTCCATGATTGGCTCCAGCCTCTGTTGTGCTGCTCCATGATTGGCTCCAGCCTCTGTTGTGCTGCTCCATGATTGGCTCCAGCCTCTGTTGTGCTGCTCCATGATTGGCTCCAGCCTGCTGGACTGAAATTGCCCCAGTGTGCCCCTCCTTGATATCCCGCAACCCACCACCAGGGTTCCGACACATAACACACTTTTTTCAGGAAAGTAAACCTCCAGGGGTCCTTTCCATATTTTTACAGAGACTGCATAAGGACCGTTAGAAAAGCATTACCCATTGATTATTAAGCTTGGACCAGTGGGGTCCGGTGTTCGGGCCCCACCACGTAAAACCAGTCCCCATGACGTGAGTGGAATCTCAGGTTATGGACCCCACCAGGAGTTGAAAACAAGTGCACACTGCATCACACACACACACACACATACACACACACACACACACACACACATACACACTGCAACACACACACACACACCACACCACACACACTTACCATGTGTCTGTGCCATGTGAATCAGTACCATGTGAGTCAGTACCATGTGAGTATAAGATAAGATAAGAATTCCTTTATTCGTCCCACAGTGGGGAAATGTCGTTGTTGCAGCGCACAGACAGGACAGTAGTAAGAGCACACAGGGAGCACACACAATATATACAAATAAGTAGTAGCTATGTTTCTTAGCTAACATAACTACCTGTAGATGCTGAAAATGCTTCAATACCAGTCAAAATATATATATGTAGTAGTGCAGTTATATACTGTACAGTTAAATAGTCCAGGATAAAAGTATATAAGTAAAGTGACATGAGGTAAAGTGACATTGTTCTATGACATTCTGAAGTTGCAGTATTGCACATTGCACATGATTTAAGAATTTACTTATTTACAGATGGATGAAATTTACAGGCTCAGCAGTTCTTATTGTACAGTCTGACAGCAGCAGGAAGGAAAGACCTACAGAACCTCTCCTTCACACAGCGAGGGTGAATTAGTCTGTCACTGAAGCTGCTCTCCAGAGCAGAGAGAGTGTCCAGCAGGGGGCGACAGTCATGGTCCAGCATAGATGTTAGTTTGCTCAGGACCCTCCTGTCCCCCACCTGCTGCACTGTGTCCAGGGAACAGCCCAGGACTGAGCTGGACTTCCTGATGTTCCAGCTTCTTCCTGTCCCTCTCTGTGATGCTGCTGTTCCAGCAGACCACACCGTACAAGAGGCTGATGCCACCACAGAGTCATAGAAGGTCTTCAGGAGTGGCCCCTGCACTCCAAAAGACCTGAGCCTCCTCAGTAGGTAGAGGCGACTCTGGCCCTTCTTGAAGAGGGCGTCTGTGTTATGAGTCCAGTCCAGTTTGTGGTTCAGATGAACACCCAGGTACGTGTAAGAGTCCACTCTCTCGATGTCCTTTCCCTGGATGTTCACTGGAGCTGGAGCGGCAGAGTGACGTCTGCGGAAATCCACCACCATCTCCTTAGTCTTCCCCGCGTTGATGAGGAGGTGGTTCATCTCCTTGGTCTTCCCCGCGTTGATGAGGAGGTGGTTCATCTCCTTGGTCTTCCCCGCGTTGATGAGGAGGTGGTTCATCTCCTTGGTCTTCCTCACGTTGATGAGGAGGTGGTTCATCTCCTTGGTCTTCCCTGCGTTGATGAGGAGGTGGTTCATCTCCTTGGTCTTCCCTGCGTTGATGAGGAGGTGGTTCATCTCCTTGGTCTTCCTCACGTTGATGAGGAGGTGGTTCATCTCCTTGGTCTTCCCTGCGTTGATGAGGAGGTGGTTCATCTCCTTGGTCTTCCTCACGTTGATGAGGAGGTGGTTCATCTCCTTGGTCTTCTCCGCGTTGATGAGGAGGTGGTTCATCTCCTTGGTCTTCCCCGCGTTGATGAGGAGGTGGTTCATCTCCTTGGTCTTCCTCACGTTGATGAGGAGGTGGTTCATCTCCTTGGTCTTCCTCACGTTGATGAGGAGGTGGTTCATCTCCTTGGTCTTCCTCACGTTGATGAGGAGGTGGTTCATCTCCTTGGTCTTCCTCACGTTGATGAGGAGGTGGTTCATCTCCTTGGTCTTCCCCGCGTTGATGAGGAGGTGGTTCATCTCCTTGGTCTTCCTCACGTTGATGAGGAGGTGGTTCATCTCCTTGGTCTTCCTCACGTTGATGAGGAGGTGGTTCATCTCCTTGGTCTTCCCCGCGTTGATGAGGAGGTGGTTCATCTCCTTGGTCTTCCTCACGTTGATGAGGAGGTGGTTCATCTCCTTGGTCTTCCTCACGTTGATGAGGAGGTGGTTCATCTCCTTGGTCTTCCCCGCGTTGATGAGGAGGTGGTTCATCTCCTTGGTCTTCCTCACGTTGATGAGGAGGTGGTTCATCTCCTTGGTCTTCCTCACGTTGATGAGGAGGTGGTTCCGCTGACACCAGTCCACAAAGTCCTGTATAACTCCTCTGTCCTCTGTGTCATCGTCCTCGGAGCTGAGTCTGATGATGGCAGAGTCGTCAGAGAACTTCTGTAGAACACAACCGTCCGTGTTGTGTCTGAAGTCCGCAGTGTAGAGGGTGAAGAGGAACGGCGCACGGACAGTTTCCTGGGGGCCGCCACACTGCAGGTCAGGACCTCAGACACGCAGTCCCTGGTTCTCACAAACTGGGGTCTGTCTGTGAGGTAGTCCAGGATGCACCGGGACAGGTCGTAGTCCACACCGGCTGTCTCCAGCTTGTCATGTGAATATCATGTGAATCAGTGCCATGTTAGGCAGTACCATGTGAGTACCATGTGAGTCTGTACCATGTGTCTCTACCATATGTGTCAGTACCATGTGAGTCTGTACCATGTGAGTCTTTACCCTGTGTGTCTGTACCATGTGTCCAGAGAACCTCCTCCTGCGCCTGGTGCACATGGTGTCGTTTGCCTGGGCCCTGGTACAGTCGCTGTTGGACGATGTGACTGATGGTCTCAACTCTTTCTGCAAAGACAATCTGTGCATCTCCAAAGTCCTGCTGTTCGAGAGAGCTCTGCTCAACCAGCAACTCAAGAAGGTAATACCATGTGTCACTAAACCAGCAACTCAAGAAGGTAATACCATGTGTCACTAAACCAGCAACTCAAGAAGGTAATACCATGTGTCACTAAACCAGCAACTCAAGAAGGTAATACCATGTGTCACTAAACCAGCAACTCAAGAAGGTAATACCATGTGTCACTAAACCAGCAACTCAAGAAGGTATTACCATGTGTCACTAAACCAGCAACTCAAGAAGGTAATACCATGTGTCACTAAACCAGCAACTCAAGAAGGTATTACCATGTGTCACTAAACCAGCAACTCAAGAAGGTAATACCATGTGTCACTAAACCAGCAACTCAAGAAGGTAATACCATGTGTCACTAAACCAGCAACTCAAGAAGGTAATACCATGTGTCACTACCATGTGTCACTAAACCAGCAACTCAAGAAGGTAATACCATGTGTCACTACCATGTGTCACTTAACCAGCAACTCAAGAAGGTAATACCGTGTGTGACTCTGTGCTGAATCTGTGACTAACTGTTGATGGTTGAGGCAGAACTGGTCCCATTTTTAATGTTTGTTAAAAGTGAAGTCTGAGGTTGGTTTTCTCTTCATGTGCTGCCCCCTCTCTGCCCCCTCCCCCCCTCTCTGTACTCTCTGCCCCCCCCTCTCTGTACTCTCTGCCCCCCCCTCTCTGTACTCTCTGTCCCCCCCCCCTCTCTGTCCGCTCTGCCCCCTCTCTCCCCCTCTCTGTCCGCTCTGCCCCCTCTCTCACCCTCTCTGTCCCCCCCCCTCTGTCCTCTCTGCCCCCCCCCCCCCCAGGGCAAAGAGGTGAGCCAGGAGAGTGTGAAGCAGTTCTATGAGAGCTGGATGTCCCGACAGAACACACTGTCGTCTCAGGAGCACCTGGAGCACCTGGAGGAAACCCCTCCCCTCTGCTCTCCCCCCGCGGTGCCCTCTCTGAGACGAGGCTACGCCAAACTCAAGAGTCAGGCCTCCAAGGTGTCCTGGGGCAGCAGCGTATCCAGGTGCAGCTCCGACTTAGACGTCATCTTTGAAATATACACATTATTACACGCTCCTCACAGCAGCAGGAGAACCATTGATCTGAATGTAATTTCATAACGTTCTACCGGTCATTATTTTCTATAACGGACCTCTCAAAACAATAATGACCGCTGGCCTTTGGCAACGCACTCTCTGCTTGTCTTTCAAATGCGTGGATAACTCCGCAAGTAGTTCCGGCCACTCCAGAGCTAGCCACGCTCAATCAACACACTTAAATGTTAATCGGAGAATACTTACAGTGCCTTGCGAAAGTATTCGGCCCCCTTGAACCTTTCAACATTTCGCCACATTTCAGGCTTCAAACATAAAGATATAAAAAATATTTTTTTTGTCAAGAATCAACAACAAGTGGGACACAATCGTGAAGTGGAACAACATTTATTGGATAATTTAAACTTTTTTAACAAATAAAAAACTGAAAAGTGGGGTGTGCAATATTATTCGGCCCCTTGCGCTAATACTTTGTAGCGCCACCTTTTGCTGCAATTACAGCTGCAAGTCGCTTGGGGTATGTCTCTATCAGTTTTGCACATCGAGAGACTGGAATTCTTGCCCATTCTTCCTTGCTCAGTGAGGTTGGATGGAGAGCGTTTGTGAACAGCAGTCTTCAGCTCTTTCCACAGATTCTGGATTGGATTCAG